TAATAGAAACGTATCCTCAGGTGAGGTTTGACAAAAATAAGTGTCTAACTCTAGCTGGTTTGGTTTGCAGTCTGAAAGGTCCCTGGCTCGATTCCTGTCAAGGGCACATGCCCAGCCGGATTGCAGGCTCGATCCCCATTAGGGGGCATGCAGGAGACATCCAATCAATGATTCTTTCTCGTTATTGATTTTTCTATCTCTCCCTCTCCTTTTCTTTCTGAAATCAATAAAAATATATATTTTTAAATGTCCAAAGAAGCAATATTCAAAGAAGCAACCAATGAATTTATAAATAAGTGGAACAACAAGTCAATGTTCTCTCTTTCCCTCTCCACTCCTTTCTCTCCCCTTCCTCCCTCTAACATCACTTTTAAAACAATGAATGCACAGAGCAAGACAAATAGAAAGTAGAGCAAAATGGTAGACTTAAGCCCAACCGTGTCAGTAAATTCATTAACTATAAATGGATTAAACTCTCCAAAAGACAACAATTATCAAACTAAATAGAAAAACAAAATCAAGGCAAAAGTGTTATTAGAGTGATATGAGGCATTTCATGATAAATGGATCTATTCAACAGGAAGATATAACTCTAAATTTGTATATACCTAATAACATAGCTTTAAAGTATATCAAGCAAAAATTAATAGAACTATAAAGAAGAGACAAATCCACTTTCATTAGTAGAGATGTTAACATACTTCTCTCAGTAACTGACAACACATCAGAAGGATGTTATTGATTTATGCACTATGATTACCCAACTTGACCTAATTGGCATGTATAGAACACTCACTCAGTAACTGCACAATACACTTTCTTTCAAAGTGCACATGGAACATACTATATTAAAATAACTGCAAACTTTTATATTGATTTTTAAAACGTGTTTATTGATATTTAGAGAGAAAGGAAGGGAGATAGAAAGAGAGAAAGAAGAAAAAGAGACATTGTTGTGAGAGTGAAACCTGCTTGTCTTGTACCTGGGATCAAGCCGGAAATCTGGGCATGTACCCTAACCGGGAATCCAATCAGAAACCTTTTGGTACACGGGACAACACCCAACCAACTGAGCCACACCAGCCAGGACTATATTATTTATTTTTAATTTAAACTATATCTGAAACTAAGAAACTCAGGGAGACCCTCACAGTTCTGTAGGAATTGTATATGTATATGAGTAAGAAACACCAGAATTATGCCATGATCTTCTAGTTCATTTTTCTTCACCAATGTATTAGGTTACAGGCATGCAGAGAATATTTGTCTCTGTCTCTTTTAACATGTATCAGGTTTTGAGATAGCAATCTAGGATTGGGTTTAACAAACCTGTGTGATCCTAAGATTCACTTGGGAAGATTTTTTAAAAATAAGTTTTATTGATTTTAGCAAGAGAGAGGGAGAAGTAGAAACATCTATGTGAGAGAGAAACATCAATCAGCTGCCTCCTGCATCCCCTCCCCTACTGGGGATCAGACCCGCAGCCCAGGCTCGAACAGGTTACCTTTTGGTGCACAGGATGACGCTCAGTCCACTGAGCCACACCTGTGGGGCACCTTGAAGATTTTAAAAAACAGATTTCTAGTCCTGGCCGGTTTGGCTCAGTGAATAGAGCATCAACCTGCTGACTGAAGGTCTCCGGGTTCAGTTCCGATCAAGAATACATGCCCAGGTTGCGGGCTAGATCTCCAGTAGGGGACATGCAGAAGGCAGCCAGTCAATGATTCTCTCTCATCAGTGGTATTTCTCTCTCTCTCTCTCCCTTCCTCTCTGAAAGCAATAAAAATATATTTAAAAGCAAAGAAAACAGATTTCTAAGTTCCACCTTCCGGAGATTCTGTATTTTGAAAGGGCAACCGGGCTGATTCCAAAGTATTTGAACAGATTTGGGAGTCACTGAAATAATGTTCTGTTTTTCATCGGGAGAAGAGGGAGGTGGAATGGAAAGAATATGAGAATATAAGAATATGAATGAACACATTTGGATTAATAACTAGTTCAGGGTTGGGTACGGGCTGAACCCCACGACATGAGGCAAGAAGCATATCCACTTCTAAAAGTTATATAAACATTAAAATTAAGTACATTTGCATGAAGCATCAAAGGAAAAAATACTCTTTTTACTGACTATATTCAGTGACTTTTTAAAAAATGTATTTTTTATTGATTTCAGAGAGGAAGGGAGAGGAGAGAAAGAGAGAGAAACATCAATGATGAGAGAGAATCATAGATTGGTTGTCACCTACACGCCCCCCACTGAGGATTGAGCCTGCAATCTGGGTATTTGCCCTTGACCAGAATTGAACCCGGTACCCTTCAGGTACCCTTCAGTCCACAGGCTGATGCTCTAACCACTGAGCAAAACCAGCTAGGGCTCAGTAACTTTCTTTTCATAAAGAAGAAGAGGGCTCTTCTTAGCAATAGATGTAATAGTGGACACATGCATTTTTCAAATCATAAGCTGTTGGTATTTTCCACACATACTTTACTTTTTTATATAAACAGCACTTGTTTTTAGTTCCTATGCTAGCAGGTATATTATTTAAAAGGATATCATGATTTTATTGTTTTTAATATTTAAGAGAAAGGGGAGAGATAAATGTATTGTTCAGTATAATGAAGAATTAAATGGGATTGAACTAAGTTCTGCTTTAGAAATGATTAGGTATCTGAGAAGGCAATGGGAGCAGGCTAGATTGGCTCTATATCAGTTAAGGACTTTGCAGATGGCCTTTCCTGTGAAAATATTAGCACCTAACATTTCTAACGCCTTTTTTTTTTCTTTGTAAAAGCATCAAATACTACTAATAACCTTTTTTTTTTTTTAAGTATTATTAGTCTGGGTTTTATTTGTTTTGTTTTGTGATTGGGTTGTCTTTTTAAATCTACCCCATTACTCATAAGTAAACAAGCATTGTCCTATGTGTCTTTTACAAGTTCACTCAGTTAGCAGGATATTTAAAATTTTAGTCCCTCCTTCCCTCTGCAAGTAAGGTTACAATTTGAGAATAAGTTTATGTTACTTAGCTCCATTCTGAAAGGGTCACATTCACATATGTTAAATGTTACGATAGGTTGATGTCTGATGGACATTCCACAATTGGGAGAATATTGTCTTAGTTAAAGCACTAACTTAAAAGCAATACCGTGTGCTTACTCTTGGGGGTTCACTCAGGGTACCATTGAGGGGGGATTGTTATGACAGGAGTTCTTCTAATGTCTCTGGCAGCTTTTTAAAGTATGGTCCACTTTCACCATCAGATCCCATTGCATTTCATATGGGAGTTAAAGTAGTTGAGACCCAGGATGCCCGTAACTAAATCATGCAACTGGGAAGGAAAGAGTCCCTGTCCTCCGGCCTCTGGATCTGCTGTACTTCAGTTACCAGGACCCTGTTTGGCTCTGTCATCTGGGTACACCAAAATAAAGCATCAGCAGCCATTGCTACAGTCATAATTACCTTGTAATTATGGTTATGGACATCTGACCTTCATCAGTGGACTTCCCTAGACTCACATCTATCAATTAGATAAATATTGATTTTTAAATTGTTTTTTAAAAAGTTAATGCATCTTGCCGAGACCGGTTTGGCTCAATGGATAGAGCGTCGGCTTGGGGACTGACGGGTCCCAGGTTCGATTCCGGTCAAGGGCATGTACTACCTTGGTTGCGGGCATATCCCCAGTAAGGTGTGCAAGAGGCAGCTGATCAATGACTCTCTCATCGATGTTTCTAACTCTCTATCTCTCTCCCTTCCTCTCTGTACAAAATCAATAAAAAAAAATATTTAAAAATTTTAAAAAAATAAAAAGTTAATGCATCTTGATTGTATATTTTCTCTTATGAAAATATATCTACAGTATTAAAAATGATTTTTAGTGATGTTATTATGTCCTTTTATATCCCTCCAAAAAGTGCTATTTACTCCAGCGGAAACTTTTTTTTTACAATAAACATGTTAACATGTGATAATACTGTAGGTGGTCCTTGATGTATTTCTATAAAGTAAAGGTCCCACTTTCATTTCAGGACTGTTATTCCACATGACTCTCTTTTTTTCTTCTCCTCTAGACCTCTCCAGAGAACCCTGGGACAGTAGGTGGAGTGCAAAACTATATTGTGTTGCCTTCCTGCTTTTTTTTTTGTTGCCTTCCTGCTTTTTAAAAGTATTATTCTTGGCCCGGTCTTGGCTGCTCCTTTCTCTGCCACTAAAGCTACCTAACTAAACCCTGCATGTATAGTCATTACGAAGGACTTACTTCTGGCCTTACATTTCAATCCTGTACATTTATCATGGCAGTTATGTTTCTTGTGAAATCCTTAAAATCAGAGTTGTCCCTAAAACAATATTGTGATAAGCAAACTGGAATCTCATCTCAACTCTGCTTTTAAACCACTGCCCTTCTGTGCCCTGCTCCCCCACCTCAGTCCCCTCACAGTGCTCCAGAACTCCCTAGGGTCTTGTGAAGGCAGAAAATAATCTGAAAAACAGATTAAGTAAGGTGTCAACACTTAATGTGTTACCCCCTCTCTGAACTACTTATACCCTCTTTCAGGATGTAAGAGGAGGACGGGGAGAGGGCAGTGTTCACTCACAAATGGTGGAATTCCCTGCTTCAGTGACAGGGGATAGTGGTGTGAGCAGGGAAGACCTTCCCATGCCAAAGAATGAGAAGGGCAACAACAGTAGGCTTCATGGCCAAGATCTCATGCATGGTGGGAAGACATCCACCTTTGTTTGTGTGCCTTTAAGAGATTTTGAGCTGGTTATAATCATCTCATTGAATTTTTATCCTAAAATGATGTCAACTTGGTTGGGTTCGTTTTCCTCCTCAGTAGCTTATCTGTCATGGATTCTGATGTTTGGTGTCTGTGTGATGTCTCTGCATGATTGTTTATCATTGCTGTGATCCTTTCCAACTACAACAGGAAGAGAGGGGCAGGGACGTTTCGAGATTGTGCCGGAATAACGAATTGGCTCTTCTCTCCCCTCTCACCAGCGACAGAAGAAGCAGGCCAGCCCGCCGCCGGCCCCGGCATGATCATGGACAGCGTGGAAGCAGGCGGAGACCTGACGCCTCCCACCAAAAGGAAGAGCAAGTTCTCGGGCTTCGGCAAGATCTTCAAGCCCTGGAAATGGCGCAAAAAAAAAAGTAGCGATAAATTCAAAGAGACATCAGAAGGTGAGATATTAAAATTTGCATACTTATATTCAATAGGGGGGTGATGACCTGGGGGTAGAGGGGGAGGGACTGAGGGAAGGGGGATAAAGGGAAGAAGGAAATGGGAGGCATCTGTAATACTATCAACAATAAAAATATATATTGTGAAAAGATAAAGATTTAGATATATGTTCTGAGTTAACGAGGTCCTTATTTTATTTTTTTAAAAATATATTTTATTGATTTTGTACAGAAAGGAAGGGAGAGAGATAGAGAGTTAGAAACATTGATGAGAGAGAGTCATTGATCTGCTGCCTCCTGCACACCCCCTACTGAGGATATGCCCGTAACCAAGGCACATGCCCTTGACCGGAATCGAACCCGGGACCCCTCAAGTCCCCAAGCCGACGCTCTATCCTTTGAGCCAAACCAGTTTCGACAAGGTCCTTATAGAAGTTACCTAACTTTCATTCCTCTCTCAGGCTTTGATAACCCCCTATTTGAAGAAGGAATTGAATCTTTCAGAATTAAATAACCAAGTGGTTACTCACTAAGCCTTATTTACTATAAAGCCTCATTCCCAAGTTAATATATTGATGGGACTAAAGTTTATCAAGTGGACCCTATCCGGTTTGGCTCAGTGGATAGAGCGTCAGCCTGTGGACTGAAGGGTCCCAGGTTTGATTCCAGCCAAGGGCATGTACCTTGGTTGCGGGCACATCTCCAGTAGGGGGTGTACAGGAGGCAGCTGATTGATATTTCTCTCCCATCAATGTTTCTAACTCTCTATCCTTTTCCCTTCCTCTCTGTAAAAATTAATAAAAAATATATTTTTTAATAAAATAAAGTTTATCAAGTGGTAAAAGGAGTTTCTAAACTATAGCAAATCTTAGATGCTTCTTTTTTCCTAATCTGGCCACTTCCTCCCAGAGAAAGTATATTCATAAATAACTTATTGAAATTTTAATTGAAAAAGATAAAATTATATAAGAATAGTTTCTTTTGGGGAGAACTATTTTCATAATAACACAGCATATGAAAGAAATTAAGTTTTTTAATTTAAAGGGAGTTTTCCTGTTCTTTTCTTTCCAGAGACTAGAAAATTGAACCACTTTATACTTTTACCTGTGGAGTTAGAAAGAATGCTTAAAGTTAAATTTACCACATTTCTAAGTGCTATTTTCCAATTTAATGTTAGTTTTAGAGCGAAAAATATCTATGCGAAAACCAAGAGAAGAGCTGGTTAAACGAGGGGTTCTGTTGGAAGACTCTGAACAGGGTGAGTTTGCACACAAATGGTATATGCCTGTCTGTACACTTGGTTTTTGGTTCTGACTAGGTATTTTAATTTTCTTTCATTCGTTTGCCATTAATGGGGGTGGGAGATCAACTTTAAAAACAAAACAAAAACTATTCATACATCTAGAATTTTTTTTTAATGTCTATTAAAAAATAAAAAAACTCAATAGGAAAGTCTACAAAAGCATTGAATTCTCTAAAGAATCTGTGAAAGCTGGATATATATAAACCTATGTGAGACATGTCCAGAACTTTGCATATATCCAACAAAAATGTGTATGCATGTGGTACAAATATCCTTATAGCAGTAGTATTTATTACTAACAATAGAGTAAAATTGGAAACAACCCTATAATAGTAAAATATATTGTGATACATTTATAAAATAAAATACTTACACGGCAGTGAAAATAAACTACACCTACATGCTATAATACCAAGCTCATAAGTAATACTGAGCAATTAAGTCAGTTATGAAAAAATAATGTTGTATTACCTCTGTAAATGTAAAGGAAAAATAGGCAACATTAAAAATACAGATTTTGGAGATGTGCGCTTAACTGGTTAAACTATAATTTATAAAAAAAAAAAAAAAAGGGAAAAAAAGAAAGGATTGTCACAGAGTTAGGAGAGAGATTGCTTTGTGGGAGAAGGAAAAGAATGTTACCAAGTAGAAAAGGATTTTTCTGGGTCTGGAAACATTTCTTAATGTCCATGATGATCATACAAGTCTTCTCCTCATAGTATGTCATTGAAATTTACATTTATGTCCTATGCATTTTTCTCTACTGATGTTATACTTAATGATAAAAAATTAAATATTAATAAGATATTTTTATAGAATTTAATGCCATTTTACCTATTTTTGATTTATTTAAGGAGGGCATTTATTTTTGTGGGAATGAAAATATCTAATAAATGAAAGATTAAACCATACTAGTGAGAATAACAAAGTGGTGTTTTTGTTTTGACAAAAAGTCAAATTAGGGGTATAAGTATAAAATTATTTTGTTTTAATAATTACCTCCTAATTTCTTTCATTAAAGTTCATTTTCTGGCGGGGGTAGAGGACAATTGTTCACCTTTCAGTCCATGTCTGAATTATCTGGCTGTGATCTTGACTTCTGAAATTGAGTGAAGGATCGTTGGAGCACACAGTCTCTGTGCCAGCTGCAGTACTTAGTCGCTTCTTTTTTCCTTTCTTTTGTTCCTTTTTTCCTTTCTTCCAAGTTTTGAAAATATATCGTATCCTTTGGATAATAGGAGAAAGGAGCCAAACTGATGGCATATTATATGGAGAGAGACAGAAACATCAATGATGAAAGAGAATCATTGAGAAATCTCTCTCTCTCTCTCTGTCTCTCTCTCTCTCTCCTCTTTCTTCTCTCTCTCTCTCTCTTCCTCTCTCTCTCTCTGTCTCTGTCTCTGTCTCTGTCTCTGTCTCTCTCTCCCCCCTACATTTTTTGACCAAACTTGTCTCATGCCCATATTGCTGTCCTAATCTTCTGTTTGTCTATCATAAAGATCATGTTTTGGGAAAGGGAGAAGTAGAGGGAGAGGAGAGAGAGAGAAACATCGAAACATTGATATAAGAGAGACACATTAATTGGTTGCCTCCCTTGGAATCAGGACTCAAACCCAAGACCCTTTGGTGTGTGGCGACACTTAACTGCTGATCTACACCAGCCAGGTTTTCACCTTCATTCAATCTCTTTGCCCTCTGCTTCCTATTGGCTCTGGCTTAAGGTTGTTATTGCCTAGGAGCTCAAAGGCCCAATTGATAAATGAGTTGCAGCCATTGGACAAGATGCCATTATGCCAATCAAAAAACGGACCTAAGCTGTATTCTGTAAGAACAAACTCAGAGATGGCCCTCAGAACCTGACATATATTTCCAGTTTAGGCCAAAAGCAGTGTTTGAACCTTAAAGATCTTTTCATTTTTGAAGATGGCTTTTGCTTGATTATGGTTTTAACTTTATTATATTTTAAAATACTTATTAGATTTTCTGAGAGGGAGGCCATACAGAGGCATTAAAGCCAGATACTTCTGCTCCACTCTGCTAGCATTGCAGAGTATTAAGAAATATATGTAAGAAATTTTACTTCAAAGTAGGCAATCCCGTTAAGTAACTTGGGAGAGAACTGATCGCTTTTACATATATTTTACTAATATGTGCTGAGTAGAAACCAATGATTGATATGTCTTAACCTTTCACTATATTGTTTTCAAAAGTAGCAGTCTAGCCGAGACGGGTTTGGCTCAGTGGATAGAGCATCAGTCTGCGGACTGAAGGGGGTCCCAGGTTCGATTCCGGTCAAGGGCATGTGCATTGGTTGTGGGCACATCCCCAGTAGGGGGTGTGCAAGAGGCAACTGGTCGATGATTCTATCTCATTGATGTTTCTAGCTCTCTATCCCTCTCCTTTCCTCTCTGTAAAAAAAAAAAAAAATCAATAATATATATTTAAAAAAAAAAAAAGTAGCATTCTTTATTGGCACTGAGATGATTCATTGCTCTGTATTCCAGAAAGACCTGTTTTTGTTAACACTGGTCTGAATTAACATAAGTAGTAACTTACTACATTTGCATAATTCTTGTACTCTTGCCCCTCCCCATTAAAAAAAAATAAAGTAGTTGTCAGATTCTCAGCTTTAGAAGTACATTTTTATTTAGTGCTCATTTGCCTTAGTGTTCACTACTCTTAGCCCAAGCTCCGCCTCTTATTTAGGCTGCATGAAGAAGGGCACTGTCTAAATAAAGGGCACCATCTAGAGAGCATCTAGTTCCAGTTCGCACCCTAGGAGCTGAGACAGAGTTTTTAGTCTCCAGCCTCAGGTGTTGTTTGTTTTGTTCTTAGTTTTCTCTCCAAAGGAGTATAGAAAAACCTCAGCAGTAGCTGGGAATGTTTGTCTAATTGCTCCATGAAGGAATCTTACCTACAATTTTCATAGTGATGAGTGGTCATCCCAAAGCCTTCAGCCTAGTGATGGTTCCTGCAATTTAGTTTGTATTTCATATTTATCTCTGATGCATCTGTCAGTTCTGCCCTTTACTCTCGACCCACAATACACACAGGCCCCCTCTGCTGCTTCTCACTATGTATTCTAACAGTAGCTCATTATTCGTTTTCCTGTTCAGTCACTGTGCAATCCATCCTCCTTACAGCTCTGCGTTAACCTTCTAACAGGCAGGTCAGATCAGACCTCTCTCCTACTTTAATTCATTAGCTTCCTGTTACCTACAGGACTCAGTCCGGGCCCTTTTACATGATATTTGGTATCTTTCATAGCCTGGCTCTTGCTTGCCTCTCCAGTCCTATTCATAACTTTTCCTTTATATGCATCTGTTCTACTACCAGACTTTCTAGTTGCCAGTTCCCAAAAATGTCACATAACTTCACATCTTTATACATGCTGTTCCTTCTTCCCAGATACATTAAAGAATCTATCTTATTATCAGTCTAATATGTTCCTATCCTTCCTTTAAGACCAAGTTTAGCTATCACTTTCTGTAAAGTTTTTCTTACCCCATTCCCACCCCACGATCTAAATGATAAGCTAAAAAGGAAGAGGAGGAAGTGGGATAAGATGGCCATGCCAGTTTCATCAGTTTGCCCTTTCCGTTTGGACCTTGCAGATGGTGAGGATCCAGGGAAGTTGAACCATGCCATGTTAAAGAATGGCCACACCACCCCCATTGGGGATGCCAGATCTGCTAGTCCAGTCCCAATGGAGGAAGAACCAGAAAGAATAGCAAGTCTTGGGAAACCTGTTCCAGAAGAGGATCCAAAGAAGCAACTAGGTAAGAAACTGGATTTTTTAGTTTAAGAACCATGGATTAAATTAAAAAAAAAAAAAAAAAAAAAAAAGAGGCTGGCTGTTGTGCCAGTGGTTAAGTGTCAACCCATGAACCAAAAGGTCACCGGTTCAATTCTTGGTCAGTGCACATGCCCAGGTTGTGAACTCAATTTCCAGTAGAGGCAGTACATCGATGTTTCTCTTTATCTCTCCTTCTCCCTTCCTCTCTCTGTAAAAATTTTATTTTATTTTTTTTTTTAATCAATCTTTATTGTTCATATTATTACAAAGGTTCCTCATTTCTTCCCCCCTCCTCCACCAGGTTCCCACCCCACCCTCTGCCCCCTTCCCATCCCCCATTGTCCTCATCCATAGGTGCAGTTTATGTTCAGTCTCTTCTTTCCTCCCTTTCCCCAATAGTAAATCCCTTTTCAGATAGTAAATCAGTTACTTAGCATTTTCTCAAATCAATAATACCTCCACATGCCCAATGATACACTTCACACAAAAGACATTTCCCAATAGGTCCACCAGCCTCATCCAGGCCCCACCCAAGGCACTCACAGATCAACACCCCAGTCCTAAACTAACTCAACACATCCAGATCTAAGCCTTCATCACTTGATTCAGCAGACCCTCAAGTTCCCACGAAAGTTTCCAGCCATGTCTGAGAAGCAGCCGTGGGGCAGGGGCAGGCAAGGAGTGAGCTGTTCTGGGCCTGGCTGCTCAGGGCCTGGCCTCTGTTGCTCTGGTTCATTCCACAACCAGCTGCTCCGGGTCTGGTCACTGCCGCTCCCGACCTAGTTGCTCTGGACTTGGCTGCTGCTGCTCCGGGCCTGGCCGCTCCCAGCCTGGCAGCCGCTGCTCCGGGCCTGGCCGCACCCGACCCGCCTGCTCCCCTGGGCCTGGCCGCTCCCAGCCTGGCAGCCGCTGCTCCAGGCCTGGCCGTACCCGACCCGCCTGCTCCCCCGGGCCTGGCCGCTCCCAGCCTGGCAGCCGCTGCTCCGGGCCTGGCCGCACCCGACCCGGCTGCTCCCCCGGGCCTGGCCGCTCCCAGCCTGGCAGTCTCTGTAAAAATTTTAAAAAGACCCATGGGTCAGTCATTCTCATTTACCTCAGGGATTTGCAAGAGCAAGGGGAGAAATAAAACCCAGAGGGAATTTTGCTCTCTAGAAATTCCCCAATCAGTTATAACTTTAAGTAGAATTTCCCCCCTCTTATTCTTTAATTCACAAGGTATCTATATTTGTGATTCTCAAGGATGGAAGATGTTAAATGTCAGGTAACTGTAGGATATTTTTAAGGTACACATTTTTCTTCCTCCACCCAAGGTATTCTATTTAATGTCCCTCCTCCTGGCTCTTTTATAACAAATCACTTATTAATTTAATAATAAGTATCACTTATTAATTTAAAAAGTGTTATTATATACCATAAGTATTTTGCAGTTGGGGAAACTTGCCTGTCAATCCTTCCTATATAATAAAGAGGTAATATGCAAATTGACCATCACTCGAACACATAAGATGTGGTCAAAGATGGCTGCTTCCATGTGGACACAAGATGGCCACCACAAGATAGCCAACAGGGGAGCGCAGTTAGGAGGAACCAGGCCTGCAAGGGAGGGCAGTTAGGGGCAATCAGCCCAGCAGGGGAGGGCAGTTAGGGGCAATCAACCAGCATGGAAGCAGTTAGGTGTCTATCAGTCTGGCAAGGGAGTGGTTAGGGGGTGTTCAGGTTGGCAGGCAGAAGTGGTTAAGGGCAATCAGGCAGCCAGGCAGGAGAGTGGTTGGGAGCCGGCAGTCCTGGATTGTGAGAGGGATTTCCCAGATTGGAGAGGGTGCAGGCTGGGCTGAGGGACACCCTCCACCCCTTGTGTACGAATTTCATGCACCAAGCCCCTAGTTATTCTATAAATTAATAATGGGTAAAGTTGATTATAAATTGTTAGCTCTTTTAGTCTGTCTTGTTACTCTCTTTCCTTTTAAATCGTATCTGTTACCACACAGGCTCCACCGGAAGCCGGCCTAATTCTGAAGCAGAGTTGGTTCCTGAGAATGCACCCAAACAGCCTTTACTTCCCCCCAAAAGACCAGTGTCTTCTTCTCATGAAGCAAATGAAGGGCAAGCAAAGGATGCCACCTGCTCTGGCAGCTCAGCAAGGTCCCTGTCCGCCACCTCTACCGCTGCCCCCACCACAGCACCTGCCGCCACTGCCGCCGCCACAAACATATCAAAAACTGTGGTTAATGCCTCTGTGCCCCCCACCCCAGCGCCCAGGACTCTTCCCGCTGCTGCTGTCAGCACTAACACTACTGCTACCCCCAGCCTCCCTCATCCCGTCTCTGCCAAGCAGCCCCCTGTCCCTCCCCCCAAACCAGCTCACAGAAACAGCAACCCTGTCGTTGGTAAGTAAGTCTTCAGGTTGCCATTTTGGGTTGGGTTGGGTTTTAGATGACTTTTTATAGGATAGCTTATCCAATATTGACTTGGTCTTTGAGAGAGTTTCCATATCTTGTCTGTTTGCACGCTATAGAAAGGTCTTGAAAATGAGGCAGATGACTATGAGTGGAAACAGGCTTCTGAAGTCAGAAACCACTAAAATTTGGCTCAGGTGCGGGGGATTCATATCTATTTCCCTAAAACTGTTTCTGAAATACTATCTATAGTTGGGTTACTGGGCATGTGAAGATCACGGTTTGACCAGCACGAAGAAAATATTTATTTTAACCTACTTTAAACTGCCAGTGCACTCCTTCAGCATAAGCCCAGTGGATGAATAGGTGATTTGTATAGATGCCAGTGTAACTTGTGGTTCAGAATCTGGCATAACGTCTTCAAGGGGAACTGCAAAAGAAATTATTTAAATTGTTCTGATAAAATCACGTTTTATCTTGAGAGTTAAAAATGCTACTTTTAGCCGAAACCGGTTTGGCTCAGTGAATGGAACATCGGCCTGCGGACTGAAAGGTCCCAGATTCAACTCTGGTCAAGGGCATGTACCTTGGTTGTGGGCACATCCCCAATAAGGGGTGTGCAAGAGGCAGCTGATCGATGATTCTCTCTCATTGATATTTCTAACCCTCTATCCCTCTCTCTTCCTCTCTAAAAAAATCAATAAAATGTATTTTTTTTTTTAAATGCTACTTTTAGTAAAATTAGTGGTAGAAGAGAGAAAGGGAGGATAATTGGTTTTAGTAAATTTTTTATATTTACCTGAAGTCCTTTTTAGGTCTATTTTCTTTATATAAATGCATACCTTCTTAGAGGAATTTTTAATAAAGGGAGGAGAGAAGGAAAATAGTTTTTCAGGAAAAATGATACTAGGCTTAGTACTGCTTAAAATTTTTGTTAATGATTGGAAGAATAAAAAATATGCTTGTTGGCCCACTGGAGTGTATCGTACTGTGCACAGAAAGATTGCAGGTTCGATTCCCGGTCAGGGCACATACCTGGGAGGTAGGTTTGAACCCTGGTTGAGACACATGCAGAAGGTATTTCTCCCTTCCTCCCTCTCTTCCTCCCTCTTTCCTTCTCTCTCTCCCTCCCTTTTTCTCTCCCCCCCTACCTTCCTCTCTTTCTCTCTCTTCCTTTCCCTCCGTCCCTCATTTCCTCCCTCCTTCCTTCCCTTCCTCTCTCCAAGTATGTCCTCAGGTGAGAATTTAAAAAATATATATATGCTTGTTAAATGGCTAATAACCATCAAGTTGTGTGGAGTGACTAGAGCCTTGAAAAACTGGCTTAGAATTTATTGTATGACAAGTTGGAGTGGCTTGATAAAAACAGGATGAAGGTTATTATTATTATCGTATTATCACCACCTCAGATTGACTTATCTCTGAGGAACTTGAGAAGCTTTCATATACCCATTTTCCAAAGCTCCTTGTGAAGTAGGAAATTGATTTTATCTATTATATAATTAGGGCAAGCAGAACAAGAAGAAATTGTGACTCATTCAAGGTTGCAGTTAGTGAAAGATAGAAATCAAACTTAGGTTTTTCAACACTTGAGTACAGACCTGTTCTATACACCTGTGTTCGCAAATGGCTGTCTAGACAGATGTTCTCATCACAGTTGCCTGGAGGGGTTGTTAAAATACAGATTGCTGGGCCCTGCACTTAAAGTTCCTGGTTCAGTAAGTCTGGGATAGGGACTGAGAATTTGCATTTCTGTAAAGTTCCCAGGTGACGCTGATGCTGCATATACAGGGACCAGAACCACTGCTCTAAACCGTAGTATACTCTCTTCAGGGTAAGCAACTGCTGTTTTCAGAGAGGCAGCAGTAGCCCAGTCTACCCAAAAGTATCTCTTTCATTGATCCTAAGGTTTACATTTTTTAATCCTTTTTTAAAAATACATTTTTATTGATTTCAGAGAGGAAGGGAGAGGGAGAGATAGAAACATCAAAGATTTGAGAGAATCATTGACAGGCTGCTTCCTGCATGCCTCCTACTGGGGATCAAGCCTGCAACTCAGGCAAGTGCCCTTGCCTGGAAACAAACCCGGGACCCTTCAGTCCATAAGCCCATGCTCTATCCACTGAGCCAAACTGGCCATGGCTTAATCCTTTTTTTAATTTTTATTTTTGTTAATCCTTACCTGAGGATACTTTTTCCATTGATTTTTTTTTTTTTTTAAGAGGGAATGAAAGGGAGGGGGAGAGACAGAGAGAAACATCAATGTGAGAGACACATCAATTGGTTGCCTCCTGCATGCACCTTAACCAGGGCCCAGGATGGAGCCTACAACCAAGGTACATCCCCTTGACTAAAATCGAACCCTTGACCCTTCAGTTTGAGGACTGACACTTTGACCACTGAGCCAAACTGGCTAGGGCTGAATCCTTTTTTTATGTGTATGCACTCTTTTTCTAGAAAGTCCTTTTAAAAATATACTTTGATAAGCCCGGCTGAGATAGCTCAGTAGTTGAGTATTGATCCGATCATGGTTTGATTCCTGATCAGGTACATGCCCAGGTTGTAGACTCAATCCCTGGTGGGGGCTGTGCGGGAGGCTGCTGATCAGTGATTCTCATCGTTGATGTTTCTATCTCTCCCTCTCCCTTTTTCTCTGAAATCAGTAAAAATACATTACACACACACACACACACACACACACACACACTTATGATAAATGGCACTAAAACATCAGATTACCACCCTGGCCTGTGTGGCTCAGTTGGTTGGAGCATCATTTCATACACCAAGTGGCGGTGGGTTTAGTTTCCAGTTAGGACACATACCCAGATTGCAGGGTTTGATCACAAGTTGATATCTCTCCCTCTCCCCCTCTCTCTCTCTCTCTCTCTCTCTCTCTCTCTCTCTCTCTCTCTCTCATTTCTTTTTTAAAAAGCTGCCAAGTTTTCTTTTAAAAAAAGTAAAACATTTATTTTTGTTAAAACTTTCTTATCAGAGTATTAGGATAGTGGAACATTTATTAGGTCTCATAGATACTGAAGGGTAATTTTGTTTTAAATGAGTTATCCAGGGGATGGCAAAGCCATGAAATGTAATTTTTTGCCTGAATGCTCTAATTCCATGCTCTGGGCTGGCCCCTCAGAGCATTGTAAAGCCATCTTATAGTGAGATGTTGCTTTCTTTTTTTCCCAGCAATAAACAGTGGGACATTGTTATCTAAACCATCCCCACCCTTACCACCGAAGAGAGGCATTCCATCAACCTTGGTACCCAACTCGGAGTCTGCCGCCGCCGCCACCAGCACGAAAGCACCAAGTGATCACAGAGAGAAGAGCACGTGCTCTGAGGGCTCCGAGCTGCTGCCTCGCCCTCCTCGCTCCCCATCCCCCCCTCTGCCCACTCACACACCCCCAGAACCCCCGCGGCCCCCTGCACTCCCTGCTAAGACTTTTCATGCTGTGCCAGAAATTGAGTTTGCACCGTCTTTAGATCCACCCCAGGAGGTTCCCCAGCAGGAAGACCAGGAGAAGGAAGTACCCAAGGGGATGTTGGACCACAGCTTCGGGGAGCCCCATGTACCCTCTAGGATGCCCCCCCTCCCACTGCATATCCGAATCCAACAGGCCCTGACCAGCCCACTCCCCATCTCCTCCTCCTTGGAAGGCTCTCACAGAGCTCATTCGTTGCTCTTCGAGAACAGTGACAACTTCTCTGAGGACAGCAACACTCTGGGCCGTACCAGGTCACTTCCCATCACCATTGAAATGCTGAAAGTGTGAGTGCCTTCAAAGCTTACCTCTTGTCTCTTCTCCTTTGCTTTCCTTTTCTAGTTAGTCCTTCTTGGGAAAAAAAAAATTACTTATAAAAAGAAAATATGAATAAATTTAAAGTAAAAAAAAATACTCAACAAATAAGACATGTTCTAGAATTTGAACTTTGTTTACCTTGCTGATTTCTGTAACATGGTTTCCATAGCAGACAGTTTCATGACGAAACAAAAATTATCAACTTTTACACTTTAAAATGGAAACCCCTGTATATTTTTTGATGCTTAAGAGCATGGATGTTGCATAAGCTAGCTCTGGGTTCAAATGCCAGCTCTACCTCTTATTTACTAGTTTGTAGTAGTGTATGACCCTTAACCTTTCAGAAAGGTTATGCAATTATGTTAATTTTTTAGTTCAGACGATGAAGAGGAGGAGCAAACCCACCCATCTGCATTCAGTGAAGACCTGCCTCCCACCTCAGTCTCTCCTAAACTACCGCAGTGTCTGCAGGAGGAAGAGGAGGAGAAGGAGAGCGACTCAGACTCAGAAGGTCCCATTCAGTACCGAGACGAAGAGGATGACGATGAAAGCCAGAACAGTAAGACAGGGAGGGGAAAGCAAAAGAGAAAATTATTTTATAGAAAAAGTTACTGGCTGGTCTTAGCAAGTGAAAAATGAATGGAAACAGGCATTTCTCCCATCCAGTCATCTGACTGCCTGATGTTGGCCTATGAGGAACTCTTGTCTCTGACATTGCCATTGTTAGAGCAAACCAGTGAGCGGGAGCCAAGGAGATTGCATCATTCAGTTTTTTATGTTTTTAATAGTGGAATCCTGAAAGTGAGAGAACAGTCTTGAGATAGGAATTTTCTGAGGTGTGTTAGTGTGAATACTTTTTGTTGTAATTCAGAGGGCTTTCCCATGCTTAGGTTCTCTCCTACAGTAATTCTTACTAAGTATGACAGTATAGAGGACGGGTAGAAGGGAGAAGATATCTTTAGCCCATCTGAGGCTATCTGGCTGAGATTTTTAGGTGCTTTTTAGCTTTACCTCCACCTCTGTGTTAGCTGGACGATGGAGGCCACGTAGGAAGCTGGGAGATAGGATATTATTTGTTCAGACTCTTGCCTGAAGCTCAAGCAGGTGAGGTTGAGCCTTAAGCTTCAACATTATTTTTCTTTTCTTGTGCAAAGGTGCTCTGGCCAACAAAGTGAAGAGGAAAGACACACTGGCAATGAAGTTGAATCACAGACCCAGTGAACCAGAGATGAACTTGAATTCTTGGCCTCGCAAAAGCAAAGAGGAGTGGAACGAAATACGGCACCAGATTGGGAACACGCTGATCCGGTAGGCCGTTAGTTAGAATGCATTGATTTGATTAGGATAGTATGTATGTTGGAGACTTATTTGGTGGTGAAACATTCATTTATCATTTTGTTACTTTTTCTTAATTTTAGAAATAGTATAATATTTTAAAAATACCTATTGTGGCCTGGCCAGCATGGCTCAGTGGTTGAGCGTCGACCTATGAACCAAGAGGTCAGGGATGGATTCCCAGTCAGAGCTCATGCCTGGATTTGGGCTCAGTCCCCAGTGTGGGGTGTGCAGGAAGCAGCTGATCAATGATTCTCTCATCATTGATGTTTTTCTCTTTCTCTCTCCTTTCCTCTCTCTGAAATCAATAAAAAATATATTCTAAAAAACACACACAACCTATTGTACCCAGTTGAGTATTCTCTAAAAACTTGGAAATTAGACCATAAGATACGTTTTGTTGTTGTTTTAAGTTTTAGAGAATCCAGGTGGTTCCCAGACTCCTCTGTCATTTATCCAGTTGCTCAAGCATGAGAGCACACCCACACTTTTTATTATATCTTTTACACATGTTCCATGTAACTGCCTCCTTTCAAAGTGTTAGTATACATATTTTTTCATTATGTTACTATATTTTTCAAGTGAGCTGGAACCCAAAGCACAGAGAAACTGAATGCAGGCTAATTACCTGCACAATATATTATACATTGAGTCCAGGTATACAGACAGTTTCCCAACTCAGATGTATCTCTTGACAGAATGAGGAAGAGGAGATGGAACTGGTGACACATTACTTACAGAGTAATTAAAAATGTTCATTAACTAAAATATATTCTCCTCTCCTTACCTGGTTGTGCTGTTGGCCAGGATGGCACTCTTAATGCAAAACTGTGGCCCTCTGTTTGTCAGCAAAAGACGATCGAAATTAGGAATTAGTTTAAAATGGGAATCTTTGCCCTGCTGCATGGCTCAGTAGTTGAGTGTTGATTTAGGAACCAGGAGGTCATGGTTCAATTCCCGGTCAGGTATATGCCTGGGTTGCATGCTTGATCCCCAATATGCAGGAGACAGCCAATCAATGATTCTCTCTCACCAATGATGTTTCTATCTCTCTTCCTCTCCCTTCCTCTCTCTGAAATAAAAAATTAATTAATTAAAAAAAAATTTTTAAATAGTTATTACCATGTGGTTCAAATACTGTCTGCGTATATCATAGCAATCAGTTATTCAGTTTTTCGGTTGTTCTGCCGTTTGGTCTATTTGTATGTGTGTGTGTGTGTGTGTGTGTGTGTGTGTATATATATATATATATTATTGCATATAAGAAAATTATACATATATATATATGAAATGAGTAATTTTTTTATTCCAAAAATGACATATCATTGGTAACATCTCAGAACTGTGGATGATGAGAAACTTCATATATATATATATATTTTTTTTTAAATATATTTTTTTGATTTTTTACAGAGAGGAAGGGAGAGAGATAGAGAGCTAGAAACGTCAATGAGAGAGTAACATAGACCAGCTGCCTCTTGCACACCCCCTGCCGGGGATGTGCCCTCAACCAAGGTACATGCCCCTGACCGGAATCAAACCTGGGACCCTTCAGTCCGCAGACCGACGCTCTACCACTGAGCCAAACCGGTTTCAGCCAAATATATTTTTTTTTACAATTTATTTTATTTTTATTTTTAAAAATTTTTTAATTAAATTATTATCTTTGTACATATATCATTGCCCCTCACTTCATCAAATATTTGATAGAGAGGACCTTATTTTAAAATCTCAGTCCTTAGCAGAAACTGGTTTGGCTCAGTGGATAGAGTGTCAGTCTGTGAACTGAAAGGGCCCAAGTTTGATTCCGGTCAAGGACATGTACCTTAGTTGCGGGCACATCCCCAGTAGGGGGTGTGCAGGAGACAGCTGGTCAATGTTTCTCTCTGGTCAATGTTTCTCTCTCATCGATGTTTCTAGCTCTCTGTCCCTCTCCCTTCCTCTGTAAAAAATCAATAAAATATATTTTAAAAATATAAAAGCTCAGTCCTTATCCTGGTTTTCTGAATCAAAATTTTTGTTAGTATGCCTGAAGAATCTGTGTTACTAACAGACTTGCTGAAGAAGCAAATCTGTTCAGGAGCCACCAGTCCAATTCCTTTTACAGATGCGTACATTCAGAGTCTGACTGAGTTTTTTGTAGTGTTAGGGCTTGTTGATGTCAGAGCTAGAACTAGAATTCTGGCCTCCTGTTCAGACATACAACTAGAGGCCCAGTGCACAGATTTGTGCACCAGTGGGGTTCCTTGGCCTGGCCTGTGGGATCGAGCCAAAACCAGCTCTCCAACATCCCCTGAGAGGTCCCAGATTGCAAGAGGGCACAGGCCAGGCTGAGGGACCCTGGGGCCAGGGAGAGACGCAGGAGGTTGGCCAGCCGGGTATGGACTGCAGCAGGGCTCCAGGGTGTATCTGGCCCATCTTGCTCAGTCCCGATCTACCAGACCCCAGCAGCAAACTAACCTGTCAATAGGAGCATCTGCCCCCTAGTGGTCAGTGCATGTCATAGCGAGCAGTTGAGAGACCTTAGCATATCATTAGCATATTATGCTTTGATTTATTGAACAGCTGACTGGTCAACCAGATGCTTAGCATATTAGGTTTTTATTATATAGGATTCTTTTTTATGTTGTAACACCTGTATGAACACTTTCAATGTGAAACTTGTTTGCTGAATCAGATAAACAAATGAAATATCAAAACAGTTTGGGACTAATATAAAACAAAGAACAAAACAGGTCTTTATAAACAGGATTGAGAGGTTTAACATAGATAATATTTTTATTTCTCTTTTTAGACGACTGAGTCAAAGACCAACACCAGAAGAACTTGAACAACGAAATATACTACAACGTGAGTCTGGTTATAAAGTTGTATAGATTTTCTTTATTAATTTCTCACTGTAATATATATATAACAGAAGAAAAGCATTTTCTGCAAGGGCCAAGGAGAGGGTATTCCAGCCAAGGAAGGACTTTTCACAGCTTTTCCCCTGAAGGAACAGAGTTCCCCAAACTTTATTTACAAGATAACATTGTAGTATTGTTTAGTGTCCTGGGATGTTCTCACAGTTCTCTTGAGCCTCCTTGGACCTTTGGGGAGGATTTCACAGTGTGTGGTAGACGTCTCCCAACGTTCCCCTTTCTTCAAGGAAGCAAAGAGTGGCTGTGCAGTTGGCGGGCCTTCCTGATCCAGGTGCAATCTAAGGGCTGGTGCAGCCGGCTTGCTGCCTTTTTCATCTCTTAAGACTTTCATATCTCTAGTCACAAAATAGGACCATGTATTTATTCCCCTCTCCTTACCCCCTTCCCCTCCGTACATAATTAACTTTCTGAAATAGCATTCTAATCGAGGTCAGATTTATTTTTCCATATTAGAGGGTGAAATTTGGACCTAAAAACCTCCACACACCAAAGAGGATTAGGCTTCAGAGGGTTACTTGTGGGCATGCTCAGTTTGACCTTGTTCTCATTGTCGATTAGATATATGCAACTTAATCACTTAGTAAATTTTAACGTGTGGGAGTCTTTACAAACCTATCACACAAAACTTAGTGTGATCTCCCTTCTAAGTGGTTACCTTTGAGCAAGAACCTGAAAAGGGGTTTTTGTTGTTTTTTAAGATTTTTTTTAAAAAAGGTTTTTTGTGCCAAAGCCGGTTTGGCTCAGTTGTAGAGCGTCGGTCTGCGGACTGAAAGGTCCCGGGTTTGATTCCGGTCAGGGGCATGTACCTTGGTTGCGGGCACATCCCCAGTAGGGGGTGTGCAAGAGGCAGCTGGTCGATGTTTCTCTCTCATTGACGTTTCTAGCTCTCTATCTCTCTCCCTTCCTCTCTGTAAAAAGTCAATAAAATATATTAAAAAAAAGTTTTTTTGTCAATATTTAGAGAGAGGAAAGGAGAGGGGTGGGGAAAAGAGATAGAGAAACATCACTGTGAGAGCAAAACATTGCTGACCACCTATCAGTGATCAAGCCCACAACCCTGGCATGTGCCCCGACCAGGACTCAGACAGGCAACCTTTCATTGGCTCCACCAAAAGAGCCACACTGACCAGGGCTGAAAAGATTTTTTTTAAAGGACACAGAGTAAATATTTTCAGTTTTGTAGGGTCAAAATAAAAGGAAGCTATTATTTACGTACCTATCAAACCATTCAAATGTAATCATTTAAAAATGAAAAAACCAACTCGGCCAGTGTGGCTCCATGGTTGAGCATCGAACCATGCTCCAGAGGTCACTGGTTTGATTCTCATAGCACAAGCCAGGGTTGCGGGCTTAATCCCTGGTGGGGGGTGTGCAGGAGACAGCTGATTGATGTTATTAGTTTTCATTAGTTTTCATTAGTTTTTCTGTCTCTCCCTCTTTCTACCTCTCTTTCTCAAAACAAGTAAAAACATATTTAACACAGAGGTAGAAGGTAACCTTAAAATAAAACAAAGCACAGGGTGTGAGGGGGAGATATTTTTAAAAATATGTAAAAATTAGTCTCAGCTCATGGGCAATAAAAAATATAGCCTACACACAATGGAATACTATGCTGCCATAAAAAAGAAGGAATTCTCATCATTTGCAGCAATCTGGATGGAATTGGAGAACATCATGCTGAGTGAAATAAGCCAGTCAATGAAAGAGAAACACCACATGACCTCACTCATTTATGGATAATAAAGAACATCATAAACTGATCAACCAAAAGATAGATATAGAGCAATAAAGCAACAAGCAGACTGTCAAATTACAGCGGGGAGGGGAGGGAGATCTGGGGGAGATAAGAGATCAACCGAAGGACTTATATTCATGCATATAAGTACAACCAATGGATACAAAACTCTGGGGAGGGAAGGTATGTATTGGGGGGAGGCAGTGGTAAGATATGTATACAGATAATAGTTTAATAATTAAATAAATAAATAATAAAATCTAACTGCAACATAAATATATATATGTGTGTGTGTGTGTGTGTGTGTGTGTGTGTGTGTGTGTGTGTGTATAGCCTACATTCCGAACTCTGTACCTTAGTTTACTACCCTTGCTCTTGAGTATTAGACTACTAGTTGACTAGCCATTTTGGTTAGCCATCCCCAAAATTCATGTTTTATTCTGACTTGGAATCTGTAAGAAACACTTGCACTGTAATTAGTGAAAAGCTTGATATGCAGGTTGCCATTATGAAGTAACATTTTTTGTTTCCGACTATCAACTGTAGCTAAAAATGAAGCTGATCGTCAGGCAGAAAAGCGGGAGATTAAACGTCGGCTCACTAGAAAGGTACATCGCCCAGTGTTCAGTTTCTGTCTGTCTCCCAAGTGCATGTCTTATATTTGAATGACCTTACTGATTGGGAAAAAATCGCTTGACTTGAATTGCCATAGGTTGCTATGAAAATAGAATACATGATGCAAATATAGAAAATAACACAATGTTATCAAGAGCTTTTTTTTCCCCCTTCACTTTTACTATTTAAAGAAAGCCTGGCATAAGAAGGTGCTCAGTAAATGCATTAAATTTTACCTTTTATTTGATAGACCTGGGATTTTGATGTAGGCTCTAAAACCTATTGAAATATAGAGATGGTAATGGGAGTGTGAAACATTCGATTCTGTAAGGAACTGGTTATTTTCTAATCTGGGGAAGAATGAACTGACCCTTATTAATATCTGAAAAGCATGAAAAACCAACTAGGATTTCTTTCCTTGGTCTCAGATCAGTTAGAGTAGAATCTTTTTTTTTTTAAATTTTTATTTTATTGATTTTTTACAGAGAGGAAGGGAGAGAGATAGAGAGCCAGAAACGTCAATGAGAGAGAAACATTGACCAGCTGCCTCCTGCACACCCCCTACCGGGGATGTGCCCACAACCAATGTACATGCCCTTGGCCAGAATCGAACCTGGGACCTTTCTGTCCACAGACCTACCCTCTACCACTGAGCCAAACCGGTTTCGGCTAGGGTAGAATCTTTTCTCTACCAGACGTGTATTAGCTCTAAAGCTCTAGTATTAATACCTGTCCGTATTTTCTGGCGTATAAGACGACTCCCTAATTTTACAGTTAAAACATAGGTTTAGGCCTATATTCGCTGTATAAGACTACCCCCCACTTCAAAGAAAAGACTTACTTTGCCGTCAAGATCTGCAGGTAATTTTTGTGCAATTTTGGTCTTTTGACCCCGATTTTCGGTTGACTTTTTTTCCGTTTCAAAAGTTGTCTTATACGCCGGAAAAATATGGTACCTGTTTCCTTCTCACCATAATGGTTTGTAATTGCTTCCTGTAGATTTAATTTGGTCTGAGTGCTCTAGATATTTCTTAAACATAATAATCCACAAGAGAATGAGAGGATCTAGACATTTTTTTCCTCATTTCTCTCCTCCCCCAGAATCAGAGGAAGTATCTTTGCTGGAATAACAATAGCTAGAGGCCACAGGTGGACTCGCTGCCTTCAGATTGTGCAATTTTAAATCATAATGTATTGCAGAATCTGCTATCCTGGACACTGTTCGTGTTGAAAATAAATTCACCCTTAATATTACCCACTAGATATTATTTTCATATTAAATGTATTCACTTTCTAATGTATTATATGTAAGTTTATAGCCCTGATCCTTTTGCTTCTCAAACCTGGCCCATGAACCAACAGCATTGGCATTACCCAGGACCTTGTAAGAGATGCACAATCAGAGGCCTTACCAGACGAGCTTATTTAGAATCTACATTTAACCAGACCCCCAGGTGTTTTGTATGCATTTAAAGTTTGAGAAGCACTGGTAATACTTTACACTTGTTCATAGCAATGGTTTTCACACTCAGCTGTGCATTCAGGAGCTTTTAAAAAACTCCTCTCAACCACTGAGCCATGCTGACCTCTCTCTCCCAGCCAGCATGGCTCAGTGGTTGAGCATTGACCTCTGAACCAGAAGGTCACAGTTCCATTCCCAATCAGGACATGCCCAGGTTACAGCCTCAGCCCCAGGAGACAGCTGATCAGTGATTCTCTATCTCTCCCATTTTTTATTTTTTAATTTATTTTGGTTGAATTATTTATTAGCAGTATTGTAACTGGACAATCAATGGGTCTATGCTGCCTGTCACTACTTGAGCCAGTTAAGCAGAGACAGGTTTGAATCATGTATGAGCATTTATTCCAAGACTGCCGGCAGTGTGGGAGAGCAACAGGTCATCCACAAAAATCTTTTCTCAAAAATCTTTTTTTTTAAAAAAAACCTCTCATCTTATCCTGTTTGGCTCAGTGTGTAGAGCATCAGCCCATAGACTGAAGGGTCCCGGGTTCAGTTCCAGTCTAGGGCATGTACCTAAGTTGCAGGTCGATCCCTGCCCTGCTCAGGGTTCATTTGGGAGGCAACCAATCAATGTGTCTCTCTCACTTCAGAGTTTCTCTCAATCGATGTTTCATACCTTCCCTTTCACTCTCTAAAAATCAGTGAAAAATATCCTCAGGTGAGGATTTAAAAACAACAACACGATCAATACCCAGAATCTCTAGGGATGGACCCAGGCATCAGCAGTGTTTGAAGGTCCCTATGTGACTCCAATATACAGTGAAGGGTAAACCACTGGATTAGAGACGGTTTGAATGCATGATTGATGCCTGATTCTCAGCATAGTCAACTAACAGGCTCCATTTCCTCCAGCTAAGTCAAAGGCCAACTGTGGCCGAACTCCTTGCCAGGAAGATTCTAAGGTTTAATGAATATGTGGAGGTAACAGACGCTCAAGATTATGACCGGCGAGCTGACAAACCTTGGACCAAACTGACCCCTGCCGACAAGGTCTGTCTCTCTCTTTATGCAAAACACTAATGGGAAGGAAAACATAAACAAAATTTCTGGTTTTAATAATAATGTTAAATTTGTATCTTTAATTAATTAATAAATTTAAGATACACATTAATTGAAGATACAAAATACAAAACTTGATATTAATGTTGCCACCACCAACAACAACAACAACAAAACTGGAAGAAGTTACATCCCAGTACAGAAATCTGGAAGGAAAAAAAAGACATATTTTTAATGGTGATTATGTTGGTTGGAGAGAGTGTCTGGGTATCATATGTTAGTAATTAACATATTTCACGTTTAAACAGGAAAAGCATTTTTCATGCGTGGAAACTATAAAAGCTATAATATCTCTTTTAAGCTCTTCAGTGTTTTGTTCACTGGGAATTGTAAGTTTATTATGAGATGTTGGTGTCAGGGAAGGCAGTGGGTATTGGCTCAGGGTTTCACCCATGTGTTGCCCGGGCTTCTTTCTTCCCTCGGGGCTGCCTGCTGTGGATTACAGTGACTCACAGAGTGAAGTACAATGGAGACCAGGTGGTAAATACTGTAGCAGACAGAAAATGCTGAAACATTTCACTTTCACTCCACAGGCTGCCATAAGAAAAGAATTAAATGAATTTAAAAGTTCGGAGATGGAGGTTCATGAAGAGAGCAAACATTTTACACGGTAAGAGCCAAAAGACCCAAATACTATGAGCTAAACGTTTCTGAAAACAAACACACCACCAGAGTTGTTCAGATAGGAAAGACTCAAATGACATTGTTTAAAAGAAGGATACTTGCCGAAACCGGGTTGGCTCAGTGGATAGAGTGTCAGTCTGCAGACTGAAGGTCCCAGGTTCAATTCCGGTCAAGGGCATGTACATTGGTTGCGGGCACATCCCCAGTGGGGGGTGTGCAGGAGGCAGCTGGTTAATGTTTCTCTCTCACCGATGTTTCTAGCTCCCTGTCCCTCTTTCTCTCTCTTCCTCTTTGTAAAAAATCAATAAAATATATATATATATATATTTTTTTTTTTTTAAAAAGGATACTCATCCAACTGGTGTGATTCAGTGGTTGAATGTTGACCCATGACCAGGAGGTCACAGTTCAATTCCTGATCAGGGCATATGCCTGGTTTTCGGGCTCAATCCCCAGTAGGGGGCTTGCAGGAGGCAACCAATCAGTGATTCTCCCTCATCATTGACGTTTCTGTCTCTCTTTCCCTCTCCTTTTCTCTCTGAAATCAATAACAACGTGTGTGGGTTTTTTTTTTGTGTTTTTTTTTTTTTAAAGAAAGTACTATAGTAGACAACAATAAAGGAAAGAGTCATAGAAAAGGTGAAATTTAGGTTGGATCTTGGAGTACCGTATTTTCCGGCGTATAAGAGACTACTGTGTTCTAGTAAAAAGCCTGCTCAGATTGGCCAGAGTCAGAGAGGCGGTCTATTAAAAAAAGAACTGGTGTTGCCTCGGAAGTGGGGGGTAGTCTTATATAGCGAATGCAGGCCTATACCTATGTTTTAACTGTAAAATTAGGGGGTCGTCTTATATGCCGGAAAGTACGGTATGGAAATAATTTATTTGGACAAGAAGAAAGAAAGGAACATTGTAACCAGCTTTAGCAAGGCTATGGGGGGTAGGCAAGTACAAAGGTGTGTGTGGGTAACAGGAAGTGTAGTTGGAGAAGAGAATGCATGGGGACAGTGTGGTGAAGTTGAGACCAGCAAGATGAGGTACTTTGAAGAACTTTGACTGTTAGGCTGGGATGTCGGAAACACTGGTGTTCTGTTTATTTCAGAACCAGCTCTGGTGGAACTGTGGAAGGTGGAATGGGAGGGGGAGAGACTAGCAGCCGGAAAGCAGTTAGGAAGGAACTGTAATAGCCGTAGTGAGCATACTGGTGCTCAAAGCAGGAAGTGATGGTGAGAATGGAGGGGAGAGAGATCTGAAAGACACTTGGCAATCTGTTGATTCCAGGTATGAATCAAAGGAAGTAGTCAAAATGACTCAGACTTGTAACCTGTGATTTCTGAGATCTCTAATATCAATAAGGAGTACAGTTGAACAGTTTAGGACATTTCTTCAGTAAAATATTTATTGAGCTGAAACCGGTTTGGCTCGGTGGATGGAGCGTCGGCCTGCGGACTGAAGGGTCCCGGGTTCGATTCTGGTCAAGCGCATGTACCTTGGTTGTGGGCACATTCCCCAGTAGGGGGTGTGCAGGAGGCAGCTGATCGATGTTTCTCTCTCATCAATGTTTCTAGCTTACTATCCCTCTCCCTCTCTGTGGAAAATCAATAAAATATATTTTTAAAATAAATAAATAAATTTATTGAGCAACTACTACATAATAGATACAGTGCTCTGCACTCGGGACATAGCAGGAAACAAGATCAAGTCCTTGCTCTTAACAAGCTTCTAAAAGAGAAAGGCAGGCAATAAACGATTGATGAGCCTTTATCACATGAAAGAGGAGATGCTGGAAGATAGTTGAATATTCAGACTAGAGTGCAAGGAGAAACAAGGTCTAAAGATAGCACACTGCCCTAGCTGATTTGGCTCAATGGATAGAGCGTTGGCCTGCAGACTGAAGAGTCCTGGGTTCAATTCCAATCAAGGGTACATGCCTGGGTTGCGGGCTCAATCCCCAGTAGAGGGCATGCAGGAGGCAGCCAATCTGTGATTCTCTCTCATCACTGATGTTTCTATTTCTCCCTCTCCCTTCCTCTCTGATGTCAATAACATATATATATATATATATATATATATTTTTTTTAATCTATAATATCTGGTAACTCAGCTTTTTTGATCACCCTTTTTAGCTACCATCGTCCATGATGCTGAAGTTTGAGAGGAACTAAACAACCCCCCAAAACAGGGCTGCTTTGCTGCTTCGGTCTCCAGAATGACATGGCGGAACTTCAGCGCTTACCAGCACAGCCGGAATTGAGTCTTCTGGGGTGAACAGCACTTGTATGAATGTAGCGTTTCACTGGAATGGATTCTCATGTGCCGCCTTGAGCAAAACTGAACTCTGTCAGTGTTTTGAACCTTTCCCTATTGCAGCCTACTTGGGGGGCATTCCCTCACCAGCCACAAACGTTCTGAGCCACTTGCAGGTTCTGCGTTTTATTGGCCGCACCACACCGATGTGACTGCCTGTGCTGCGGCACAGTTCGCACCATCAGCCTTACCTGCTCTGTCCTGGTTGTGGGACCCACTTGTGTAGGCGCTAAATTCCAGTCATTGAATCCAGTTGGTGGTGGGGATAACCGAGAGGGCCCCACCTTCTAGCAAAGGGGCCTCCATTTCCAGGGGAAGCTTCCTGCCACGCTGGCATGTCGCCTTGCACTATACCTCTTGGAACAGCAATACTGTCCTCTGCAGGCAGTCCAGCCTGAAAGCAGCTCAGGATCTATCGAGTGCTTCCTTTTTTAATTATTATTATTTTAGTCTCGAAGTCATGGAAACTTGTGTTCAATCTGACCTGCAACCAGATTCCAAGTTGGGAAAAGGCAAAAAAGCATGTGTCTTCTATATACAAAACCAAAAACAGCCTTTATGTTAATGCTAACTTGGCAGAAAAGGGACTCATGGCTTCAATACTAAAAGCTGTTGTACGTTTGTTGCACCAAACGATACTGTAAATCATTTTGCCCAGTAGGTACATTCTCCTCCGTAAAGCGGAGTTGGGGCAGCTCTGTGGGAGTGTGTGCTATTGGCCCCCACACTTGCAGCCAGAATCACAGCCAAGTCCTAGGGATGTCGGGTGCTAAATCAGGTCTTCGGAGAAGCGATGAGAAGGGGCACCATCATGACCTGCTCCTCTCCTCAGCACAGATGTCTGTCCTCCTGCTGCCCCTCAGGCAGCTTCCACCTTACTCCTCCTCCTCTTCCACGCTGGAGCCACTGCGGTTGGTGCCTGGCACTGGCTCAGCCTCCACCCCCTGCGTTGTAATATATATTAATATGATTTCCTGGAACAAGATTCAGTTGCTTTCTCTGAATTTTTATTGAAAACCTTACAGCGTCACTGTTTCCCTCTAATTCCTATGCACACTTAATGGAAGAAAAAAAATAGTTTCTAGTTAACTAATGAATGTAGCTTTTTCTTCCTAATGTTCTTAAAATTATGGCTGTTTTATAGATTTCTTCTGCAGTCCCCATTGTTCTATATGTAATTTTTCAATAGGTTTTTCCTTTTTTTCTCCTTTATGTCCATGTAAGATTTGGTGAAGAGTCAGGATATCATTATAACACTCAAGTGACCTTAAAAGTAGTGTTCTCTCTCTGTATGGGTAATAGGAGGTATTGGATTCCTCAGTGACTGTCAAATGCTTTGGGGCTATGGAAATATACTGGGTTCACATCTCCTTGAAACTGGTTAACATGGGGGAAGGATAAGAGACAACTTCACAATGTTGTCAGAGGTCTGTATATAAGGCGGGAGGGAGCACATTACCTGCTAACTTGACTTCTCACTTTTCAGTCTTGTTGGTTTGGAGATTACTGGCTTATGTCAGAATTCTCTGTGGCTTAACAGGACATTGTCAAACTCTTTACTGCCTTTCTTTCCCTTAATGTGCCAAGCTTGAAATAGGATGTGACTTCCTGAGCTGCTTGTTTGCTGTCTATGTGCCACCAAGAAATCTAATTCATCTTTCATCTCATTCCTGTTCTTTTGAAACAAGATACTATGGGGGTCAAGTCTTTTCAGGTGATTTTTATATATATACATATAAATATAAAGGATTTTGTGTCCTTTCCTTGTAAGTAACAATTCACAGTCATAGTGTATAGAATAAATAAGTCTGATGTACTTTAAAATGCTTCCCTGATGTACAGAATCTCCTTGTAAAATAAATAATTGCATTGTATATCAGTCTTCCTACCAATATTAATTATTAAAGTATTTTAGAATTTTAAAAAAAACTATACTATTCTGGTGTGAAGTATTTATTTTATATTTTACCTTATTCCAAAAGATTTAAGTCTGTTTAAAAAATATATCTAAAATACTGCTAGAACAGCCTCAATGAGAAGTAGATGAATAGGGAAAGATAATAGGAAGAACATTAAGTGTAGCCCTAGCCGGTTTGGCGCAGTGGGTAGAATGTCAGCCTGCAGACTGAAGGGTCCCAGGTTTGATTTCCAGCCAAGGGCACATGCCTGGGTTGTGGGCTCAATCCCCAGTAGGGGGCGTGCAGGAGGCAGCCAATCAATGATTCTCATCATTGATGTTTCTATCCTCCCCCCTTCCTCTCTTGAAATCAATAAAGATTTATTTTTTTAAAAAGAACATTAAGTGTAGCCAGAGATACTCAATCATGTTTGTGAATGACTGCGCACATATAGAAAAAGAATAGGCTGCAGAAATGAAAACCAACTGTGAACCCCATAGTATGTACCAGGTATTGCTCTTGGTCCTTTATTCTATTTATCCCATCCATAGTTTGGGAAGTAAGCAGAAATAGACTCATCAAAGAACCTAAGAGATGAAGTTACTTCCCCAAGGTCAAAGCACGTTGTGTGACCACTCTGCATATATTTAAGGACAAGCAATTGCATCCGATCATCCCTATAAGGATTACTCTGTTTGGACCACATATCAGACCACAGGCTGACACCACAGTGAGACAGTTCATACCTCGTATACTTCTCTCTGGCTCGCAGCCCAGTTTCATTCATGGTGGCCTCACCAGTGACTCACCTTCTGCTTGTCACTTCAGAGCCTGGCCTTGGCTAGTTCACCACCCTTTACCCAGGATTTAAAGAAACGGTGAGTCAGAACTCATGTCATTGGGTTCCACCTGCTCCCAGATTTTCCTTCTAGTCCTCCAAAGAGGCCTCCATTGCCATTACCCTTTTGAGGGTAAGCATTGTTGCCTGTGCACAATGCCCAGTGTTGGCTGAAACAATGAGTTTAGGGTCCTTATGGATTTAGGTTACTATATCCCCAGAGAGGGAGGACTGTATAGAGTGAGAGGTTTGGAAAACCACTATCAAAAAGGGTAAGTCAGTTGGTCCGAAGGTTGTGGGTTATTGTTAAGCTGATTAACAAAAAGGGTAAGTCCATACCCTAGCTGGGTAAAACGGAAAAGAAAAAAAGAAAAAAAAACGTATCCGCCTTCATACCTTGTTTCTGTAATTCACATTCCCCGGCAAAGTTGCGCGTGAAGGCTCTACTATCGCGAGAATCCTCTGGTCCCGGTGGGGGTGGGGCTTAACTTGGTGAGTTTCCGATAGGCTGACAGCGCCTGGCGGGGCGCAGGCGCAGTAGGCATATCCGGTCTCTAAAAGGCATGAACCGGGACGCGGTGTGTGCGGCAGGCTTCTCTGGGGGAGACCGTCGCTGAGCCTTGCTGGCGCCTGGTAAGTGTTTTTCTCCGCCGGGTTTATCAGCTTCACCTCTGGTGCCCCATCCCGCCAGCCAGCCTTTCCTGTAGAAAGGATTCTACCCTGTTTCCCCGAAAGCAAGACAGTGTCTTATATTAATCTTTGCTCCCAAAGATGCGCTAGGTCTTAGTTTCAGGGGATGTCTTATTTTCCCATGCGCTAGGTCTTATTTTCGGAGGATGTCTTATTTTCGGGGAAACACGGTATTTAGGCTGAAACCGGTTTGGCTCAATGGTTAGAGTGTCAGCCTACGAACTGAAGGGTCCCAAGTTCGATTCCGGTCAAAAGCATGTACTTTGGTGGCAGGCACATTCCCAGTGGGAAGTGTGCTGGATGTTTCTAACTCTATTTCTCTCCTTTCCTCTCTGTAAAAAAATCAATAAAATAAAAATTAAAAAAAAGAAAAGATCCTATTTAGAAGGATTGGTTTCTGCGGCACCCGTGGGAACTGCCCTTGTTCATTCGTGCGGGGGGCCTGGGGCGGTCTGGGATCCGCGAGTGATGGCGTCACCAAGGCGCTCTCGCCAGCTGCACCCGCACCCCAAGACGCTAAAAGCGCAGCCACCCACCCCGGTGCCCAGCTAGTACCCTGCCTCCCGGGAGTCGCGTTGCCGTCGGTGGGGTTGCACGCAGGACATTTTATTCCTGGGGCCCCTCCCGCGTTTGCGCCCTGATTTCAAAACCGATGCCTCTTAGTGCTGCCAATTTGTTTTAAAAGTTAGGGTAACTTGAAGATGATCGGTTTAAAGATAGGAAGATTTGATTCTGGTTAAGGACACTGCTGTCTCAAGGCTCTGTATTTGCCATTTCTTGGGGGGCGTGCTAATGGATTGTAGTTTCTAGATGTGTGTGTGTGTGGTGCCCGGCTGAAAGTGAATTTAGGTTACTGAAACAAGACTTCTGGCCAGTCTTGAACTCCAGTTTTTTGACGACTTTGGGGGAATTTAGGCTCCACCCCAGCGTGGGTATCCCTAGAAATCGCTGTGGGCTGGATTGGGACTGCTAGCACAGTCGTCTGAATCTAAGTGTGGTGACCAACGTGGATATCCCGGGAGGTCATCTCCCGGGCTGTGACCAGGTGGCCTAGGGGAGCGTAGGGCTCTGCCCCATGATGTACAGTCCCTTTCTCAACGTTGGAGAGAAAGTCAGGCCTTGAGTCTGCGCCTGCATATTCCTACAACTTCTCAGAGTCCTGTGGACGATGACCGAGGAGACAAACTTATGAATACGAGGGTTGGGATGAGGATAAAGGGACCAGACTCCGAGGAACCAAGTTGGGAGCACAAGGGGAAGTCAACTTCACCAAAGTTAAGCCAGGAAAGTACGGTTATAAATATCTTTTAGTATTTAGGACACCTTTTCTGGATGGGCAGAGGCATACCCAACCAAGCACGAAACAGCTCAGACGGTAGCCAAGAAACATCCTACCCAGGTATGGCTTCCCCGCGATGATAGGATCAGACAACGGGCCAGCTTTTATTTCACAGGTAACACAGGCATAGCCAAGGCTATCGGGGCGGATTGGAAATTGCATGGTGCCTACAGGCCCCAAAGCTCAGGGCAGGTAGAAAGGACGAACAGAACCCTAAGAGAGACCCTTACCAAATTACCCATGGAGACTGGCAGGGACTGGGTGGCTCTCCTACCGTATGCCCTTTCCCGGGTACGGAACTCTCCTTACACCCTGGGCTTTACCCCCTGTGAGATCATGTTTGGCAGGCCACCCCCTCTCATTCCTAACCTTAAGGCCGAGCTTCTTGCTAAATGTGAAAGCCAAGACATATCTTTTCTCTTCAGAGGGCTCCAGAGGGCGAACAAGGACCTTTGACCGCGCCTCCGTGCCATCTGCGAGGCTGGCCCGACCCCGCCGCCTCATCAGTACAGACCGGGGGACTGGGTTTTGTCAAAGGCACCGCCGGGAGACCCTCAAGCCGCCTTGGAAGGGTCCCCACATCGTAGTGCTGACTACACCCACCGCTTCAAGGTAGACGGCGTCTCCACCTGGGTCCATCACACCCACGTCCGCCCAGCAGACCCCTCTGCAGTCCGGGAGGACCTCACCACACAATGGAGCCTCGATTACAATCAGCACAACTCGCCCAAGCTCAAGCTACGGCGCGCCCAACCCGCCTGACGCTGGTAACTCTGTTGACTCTATTCGCTGTCACCCACGCTGCCGGGAGTCCCCGCGCCCCGTACAATCTCACCTGGCAGATCGTAGAGCCCAGCTCCGGAACTGTCCTCAGTCAGACCTCCCAGTCGCAGCCTGGAGACACTTGGTTCCCGGAGCTCCAGGTAGACCTGCTGGCCCTCATCCCCGTCCAGTACGACCCTGCGTTCGCCCGGAGCCGTCACTTCTACGTTTGCCCCGGGCACTCGCGCACCCCGGGGGGAGGCACCCAGGACCCATGCGGGGGAGCGGAGAGCTACTTCTGCGCCTCCTGGTCGTGTGTCTCCACCGGACACATCTGGTGGACTCCCCCGAAAACCGGTGATCTGATCACCGTAGAGCGGCCGGCTGCCCCGCCTTGCGGCTTTGAGGGTCCCTGCAACCCCGTGAGGATATCTTTCACGGCCCAGGGGAAGGAGGCTGCAGGATGGGACACTGGCAAAACTTGGGGAATTCGTTTCTATGATAAGACCAGGTTCGGGTACCGAGATCACGGAGGGCTGTTCACTGTCAGGCTACTGAGAACCTCCCTCTCAGACCCGACGGCAGGGGTAGGGCCTGACCAAGTGCTGGGCCCCCAACCTGCCCCTACCCGGGCGTCCCCACCCAGGAGCACCCCGCCCCCGGCCTCATTGCCCTCCGCCCTCCCTGCCCCGCACCTCAACATCTGACACGGAGCATGGTCATAGGAGCATACCATGGTTTGAACACTTCCCGACCCGACCTGACCGAGTCCTGTTGGCTCTGTCAAGATATCCGGCCACCATATTACGAAGGTATTGCTCTTAGGGGCAATTATACAACGGCCTCCAATTCCAGCTCCTGCCGATGGCAGCGGGCCACTGCAAGACTAACCCTCCCGGCGGAAATAGGGCAAGGTACTTGCATAGGCAGCGTATCCCCTGAGCAATCACATCTCTGTAATGAAACTATCAGTCCCTAGTGGGACCGTTTATCTGCTCTCCCTCTCCCCTCCCCCTCGAAAAATGCATGGAGGTCCTGTTCCAGCAGCCTCGCTCCCTGCGTCCACTCCCAAATCCTCAACTCCTCAAAAGAAGGCTTTTGCATACTCATCCAGCTAATCCCCAAGCTAGTATACCATTCGGGGGAGGAAATACTTAGCAGGTTAGGTTCTGCTAACCCCCCGTCCCCGAAGTGGGAGAGAACCTGTTACAGCCCTAACTCTGGCTGCGCTCTTAGGGCTGGGACTAGCAGGGGCAGGAACCAGATATCCTTGTTTGTCATACAAGACGAGAACTATGGAATCCTAAGAGCAGCCATTGACCTAGGCATAGAAGGAATTGAGAAATCCATTACCCATCTGCAAGAATCCCTTCCTTCCTTCTCTGAAGTAGTGCTCCAGAACAGAAGAGGATCAGACTTCCTGTTCATGCAACCAGGAGGCCTGTGCGCAGCCCCAGGGAGGAGTGTTGTTTTCATGTGGACCATTCGGAGTTGTTAAGGAATCCATGGCCCTCTTAAGAGAGGGAGCAGCCTCAGTGTTGGTATGAATCGTTATTTAACTGGTCCCCGTGGTTAACCACTCTTATTTCCGCCCTCCCGGACCCCCTCATAATCCTACTAATGCTGTTGTCCTTTGGCCCCTGAATTATCATCAGGCTAGTCCTGTTGTCAAAGAGCGCATGGGGGCAGTTCAGATGACGGTTCTGTGCGCCCAGTACAGGCCTCTGGTAGCGGAAGGGGAGGTAGAAATGCAGTCCGTCCCATGATTGGGCCCGTAAATTCCAAGACAAGGGCGGGAATGAAAGGGCAGAGCAGGACTGACTCCATTGTGTATTGTGTCCTCCATCTTGTGTAACTATGTCCCCGACATGACCCCTTTCCAAGAAAAACCACAGAATGTGTCAGTTACCCAACCCACCCTTAAATCAGCCAACAGGAATGCAAGGGGAAATAACCAAAGTCCAAAGTATGCTAACCGCATCCTATCACCTGCGTAACTGGACCCTAGCCCTCACCCAACCAATCGGAATCAGCCATATCATGGCCCTAGCATCACCCCACCACCCGACGCCAAGCCCTATAAAATTTCTGTCCTTCGGGAACTCGGGGCTCTTTGCATCCTGCCGCTGCGTCGGTAGAGGTGGAGAGACCAGGCTTGGGCTTGAAAAAAGGCTCTTTGTTTTTGCATCGGACTCAGTTCCCTGGTGGTCTTTGGGGATCTTGAAATCTGGGCATAACAGCTGGACCTTGAGTCTGTGCCTGCATGTTCCTACAACTTCTCAGAGTCCTGTGGACAATGACTAAGGAGACAAACCATGCAGGAAATGGCGATTTTCAACCGATGTGCTGCAAGAAATTGAAAACTTGCAGTATCTGCTGATTTAGTTGGGCACTGACCTCTTTTCCCTTGGATTGTCAAATTTAAAATTGACAGCCAACACAGTAACTGGTGTGAATCAATTAAAATTCTACCTTTGCCCTGGCCTGGCTCAGTGGTTGAGCATTGACCTATGAACCAGGAGGTCAGGGCACATGGCCGATTGGGGGGAGTGCAGGAGGCAGCCCATCCATAATTCTATCTTGTTTTATTGGGCCATGTGGCCAATGAAATTTATGTCATTATATAATTGATGTTTCTATTTCTTCTCTGAAATCAATAAAAACCTATATTGAAAAATTCTACCTGTTTTGGCAGGTCAGGGAAATATGTTTTTTTGTGTGCTGCAGTTTTAGTAATTTAGTAGTTTGTGTGCAGCATGAGGTGGAAAAGGTTGGCAATTGCTGCTCTAGAGCTTCCTATCTGGATATAGGTTGATCAGAAGTGAATTTTTGGCTTTACTCAGTTTTACTGTACTGCTGGATTAAGCTCTTTACCTTGTTTTGCAGCCTTCAGTCAAGATTCTAAGTAACTTGATTTGGGTAAGTAAATCTGAATTGCTTTTGGCTTATCTGTTTTGCCCTTTAAAGCCATCCATAGGAGATGGGGTTTGGTCTCGTGCAATCCCTTTTCATGATACTGGATTTGAAGCTGGGCATATTTGTCTGCATACGCCTTCAACAAGAAGTAACTTATGAAGTAAATCATGAAATAGTGCATAGTAATGACTTGTTTGAAATTGATTAAAACCAGTTACTAAATCAACAACTACATGTAGTGTGATCTATAATAATAAAAGTGTAATATGCTGAAGCGAGGGCAGCCAGGAGGGAGGAAGGCCTACCCTTGCACGAATTTTGTGCGTCAGGCCTCTAGTATGTAATAAAGAAAAATCTCTAAGGTCTTGAGAGGTAATGCTGTTTAACTGTACTGTCTGTGATTGATTAATCAGACACTCCCAACATGGATACCTCGGGAGATCACTCTCCCGGGCTCTGTCCAGATGGCATAGGGGAGCATAGGGCTCTGACAGTCCCTTTCCACAACGTTGGCGAGAAAGCCGGGCCCTGAGTCTGCGCCTGCATATTCCTACAACTTCTCAGAGTCCTGTGGACAATGACTGAGGAGACAAACCATGCAGGAAACACCTAGTACACTAAAATGAGAAATCTTTGAATTTTAAGAATCTATGATTCTAATCATTTTTTCTGTTTTCATTTAGGAAAGAAGAGGCACTTCACTTTTTGGCAGTTAACAACGCTTTTTGGGTTCCTCTAAAGTGATGGCTGTGTTTGGGAGATAAGTAGCTTCCCTTTGGAGAAAAAGGAAAAAGAAATGTGAATTTTGTCATTCTCAGATCTGTATTAACTGGTAGACTAATAGAATGTTCCATGGGCACATGGCCCATTGGAATTTATAAGTAATTACAGAAGCACTGAGTGTGGGCAGTTTTTTTGTTTTTGTTTTTTTATCCTCCCCCCAGGATATTTTCCCATATATATATATAATTGATTTTCTACAGGGAGGAAGAGAGAGGAATAGAGAGTTAGAAACATCGATGAGAGAGAAACATCGATCAGCTGCCTCCTGTACACTCCCCACCGGGGATGTGCCTGCAACCAAGGCACATGCCCTTGACTGGAATTGAACCCAGGACTTTTCAGTCCACAGGCCGATGCTCCATTCACTGAGCCAAACCGGTTTCGGCTCCCACTGGTTTTTAGAGAGTGTGGGAGAGGGGAAGACAAACATCAATGTGAAACGCATCTATTGGTTGCCAACTGAGGTACATGCTGTTGACCAGAATGGAACATGGGACTCTTCAGTTTGCATGCCTGTGCTCTCCTCACAGCCACACTGGCTAGGGCCGGGCAGCTTTATTAAGACAGTATTGGTCCTTTGACCTAAAAGGCCCAGAAAACTTTTCAGAATGTGTGATGCCAAAAATTGAAACTAAGATGATACTCTTTTTTATCCTCAAAGTTGGTTTTCTAATTGCATAGCTGAATGAACAGAAAGCAGAACCCCATGCAAGTCGTTTTTATTTATTTTTTTATTTTCTTTTATTATTTTATTTATTTATTTTTTAAATATATTTTATTGATTTTTTACAGAGAGGAAGAGAGAGGGATAAAGAGCTAGAACTTCAATGAGAGAGAATCATCGATCAGCTGCCTCTTGCACACCCCTACTGGGGATGTGCCCGCAACCAAGGTGACATGTCCTTGACCGGAATCGAACCCGGGACCCTTCAGTCCACAAGTTGACGCTCTATCCATGGAGCCAAACCGGTTTCGGTGCAAGTCGTTTTTAAAATCCTTTTTGTATTTGTGAATTAAAATAAAGGTGACTATGCCGAGATCAGTTTGGCTCAGTGGATAGAGCATCTGTTCTGGTCAGGGGCATGTACATTGGTTGCGGGCACATCCCCGGTGGGGGTGTGCAGGAGGCAGCTGGTCGATGTTTCTCTCTCATCTATGTTTCTGGCTCTCTGACCCTCTCCCTTCCTCTCTGTAAAAAATCAATAAAATATATTAAAAATAATAATAAATTTAAAAAATTATTTTTTTTAAAAATAAAGGTGACTATATACTTACTAGTGTGATTTCTTTTTTTTTCATATGGGAGTATGGTGACAGCTAAAGATAGTATTCCATAATGGATGGGAGGGTGACAGAGGGGAGGGGGAGGGCACCCAGCCATTAGCTGCACCCTAAAGACTTTTAAGCTTTTATAGAGAAACCAAGATGGCAGCAAAGGTAAACAACTAAACTGCCGCCTTGCACAACAATTTCAAAACTAACCAGAACCATGGGAAAGCTGGCTGAATGGAAGTCTCACAACTACCCTGTTTCCCTGAAAATAAGACGGTGTCTTATATTAATTTTTGCTCCCAAAGATGCTCTAGGTCTTATTTTCAGGGGATGTCTTATATTCCCATGAAGAATACAGTACACATTTATTGCCGGGACCGTTTGTTTGTTTGTTTGTTTGTTTTTTGTTTTTTTTGTGTGTTTTTTTAATATATATGTATTTTATTGATTTTTTACAGAGAGGAAGGGAGAGAGATAGAAAACTAGAAACGTCGATGAGAGAGAAACATCGACCAGCTGCCTCTTGCACACTCCCTACTGGGGATGTGCCCGCAACCAAGGCACATGCCCTTGACCGGAATCGAACCTGGGACCTTTCCGCAGACCGACGCTCTACCACTGAGCCAAACCGGCTTTGGCGATTATAATGTTTTTCAAGAAATTCCTAGAAAAGGCCAATAAATTTTACGAGATCCTCGAGGATATGAAAAAGAATCAACTAGAAATTAAACATACATTGACAAATAAAAAATATTAAACAGAGACCCAACAGCAGACTAGAAGAATGCAAGAATCAAGTCAAAGATTTGGGATACAAAGAGGCAAAGGACACTCCTCCGGAGAAACAAGAAGAGAAGAGAATCCAGAAAGTTGAAAATAGTGTAAGAAGCCTCTGGGACAACTTCAAACTTCCCAACATCAGAATTATGGTGGTGCCAGAAGAAGAGAGAGAGCAAGACACTGAAAACCTATTTGAAGAAATAATGACTGAAAACTTCCCCCACCTGGTGAAAGAAATAGACTTACAAGTTCAGGAATTTCAGAGAACCCCAAACAAAAGGAATCCAAAGAGGACCTCACCAAGACACATAATTAAAATGCCAAGAGCAAAAGACAAAGAGAGAATCTTATAAGCAGCAAGAGAAAAACAGTTACCTACAAGGGAGCACCCATACGATTATCAGCTGATTTTTCAACAGAAACTATGCAGGCCAGACGGGAGTGGTAAGAAATATTTAAAGTGATGAATAGCAAGAACCTACAACCAAGATTACCCAGCAAAGTTTTCAGAATTGAAGGGCAGATAAAGAGCTTCACAGATAAGAAAAAGCTAAAAGAGTTCAGCACCACCAAACCAGTATTATATGAAATGTTGAAAGGTATTCTTTAAAAGAAGGAAAAAGAAAAAAGTAAAGATAAAAAATCTGAACAACAAATACATATCTATTAACAAGTGAATCTAAAAGTCAAGTGAATTGCCGAAACCGGTTTGGCTCAGTAGATAGAGCGTTGGTCTGCGAACTGAAGAGTCCGGGTTTGATTCCGGTCAAGGGCATGTACATTGGTTGTGGGCACATCCCTGTTAGGAGGTGTGCAGGAGACAACTGGTCGATGTATCTCTCTCATCGATGTTTCTAGCTCTCTATCCCTCTCCCTTCCTCTCTGTGAAAAATCAATAAAATATATATTTTTTTAAAAAGTCAAGTGAATTAAAAATCTGAGGAATAGAATAAACTGGTAAATATAATAGAATCAGGGGCATAGAATGGGAGAGGATTGATAATTCTCAGGAGGAAAGGGGTGTCTGGGGGGTGGGTACGGGAAGAGACTGGACAAAAATCAATCTATGGATGAGGACAACAGCGGGGGAGGTAAGGGCAGAGGGTGGGGTGGGGACCGAGTGGAGGGGAGCTATAAGGAGGGAAAATGAGAAACAATTGTAATAATCTGAACAATAAAGATTTTTTAAAATATATTTTATTGATTTTTTTATAGAGAGGAATAGAGAGTTAGAAACATCGATGAGAGAGAATCATCGATCAGCTGCCTCTTGCACACTCCCCACTGGGGATGTGCCCGCAACCAAGGTACATGCCCCTGACCGGAATCAAACCCGGGACCCCCCAGTTCTCAGGCTGACCCTCTATCCACTGAGCCAAACCGGTTTCGGCTGAACAATAAAGATTTATTACATTTTTTAAAAAGACCCTAAGCTTTTGTCTTGGGCTCTTTGTGTTTATGTTGACACTTGGCCATCTGGAAGAAGCATTCCCAGTTGCATAGTTCCCTGGTTAGATCCCATCTTCATTGTGCAGCTGGATAGCTGCTTAAAT